CTTGGTACACATTATTATGTAGAACTGCTTTTTCTGATGAATTCCCAGCCAAAATCCTTGGTTCCATTTGACAGAAGAAAGCAACACCGAATTACCAGACCAAAAATATTTATCCCCTTTTGGTTTCTCCCACTATGTCTATAATCTTCATGGAAACAATTGGCTGGGATATACATACACAACCATATCCATACATGGTGTTTTTAATAATTTTTTAGCTAGTATTTTCTTTATTAAATAAATTCAGAATTCAATTTAGTTATTTATTAGAATTAGTCAACAATTAGAATTGTTGGTTGTTATATATAAGGGTCGTAGTCTTAATTGGCAAAGGTTGTTTTTTTTAATTCAAATAAAATATTAATTGTTGAGATCTTCTCCAATTTCATAAATTTTCGGTATTTGATATTTAAAATTAGTGAATCCAAATTCTTTTTATTCATGTGATGTCTAGATTTCTGGTATCCTAAAGAATCAATAGAAACGAGAAGGTAATAGTGTTGTAGTATTCTTTTATAATCAACGGAACCTCGAAAACGTATTCGTTTCTCAGTTCTAATACTTCCGCCCCTACATCACTTGGTATCAGAGTGATGTTCATTTCTAACGGTATTCTTGGAATTTAGTGACAAAAGCTATGATGTATGATGATAACATTTTTTGTTCCTTTAGATCCAAAGAAGTCCATGGACATAGATTTGGATGACTATGATAGTCCACCAATTTTTTGGCAAAAAAATTGAAGAATCTTTGGATATTGGTTACAAAGGTCCTCCAATCCTTGACGAAAAAATTGAAGAATTTTGTGAATTTGGGTAATGACTTACGATGGAGCATCGATATTCGACGCAGAAATTGAAAAATATATGTATTTATATGATGACAGTTATGACGTTTCACATACTCTATATGAAGAGCCTGATGTCAATGTCTTTGATAAGTGGTCTAAAAAATCAAAGTTGGTTTATAAGTGTCACACAAGAGTGCGTGGATCTTGATATACCTATTATAGTTTAACCTTCGTTTGAAGAGCTTTCTTTTTTGTGCCTTGCAAATTTACCAAACTATGAAGAATCAAATGAAAAAACATTGCAAGATTCTAGGATGAATATCTGTCAGTCGGAGGAGAATGATGAAAATTTAGCATCAATGGAACTTCGATAACGTGTTCGTTTGTCATTTCTAACGCTTCCGCCCCTACATCAATACAACTCAAGTCCATGAGGTAGAGAAAGAAAAGAAGAAGTGATAAAAGAGATTTTGTAATAAAAATGTTTGGGAGGTAACAAATTATTTCCAAGGCACCTTAATCGTGTAAGAGCTTCCCCTTATCATATCAGAGATTTTATAAAGTCCGGAAGTTTCAAACTCGTCAAAAATCTAACCTTGAACTTCAGAATTATCATGGTAGTTGCCAGGTGTCGACACTCTAGAACCTTTTCTTAAAAATTGGCTCTCTGGTGCTTTGGTGGCAACAATTGTTGATATGTATTAATACTGTTGGAAAAATATTATTTGTACACAAGGGAACAGAGAAAAACAAAAACAAAGAACAAGATGAAGAAATTGATGAAGAAAAAGGCTCAACTATGTAATTGTGGTCCTCAAATGATATTTGCCTCTCACGGATTGAGTTTTGATGTTAAAAGGATTTTGACAAATGGTTTGCAGAATTTATCAAGCCTCGTAAAGAATTTAACACTCAAGCACTTAGTGTGATTGCAAATGATTTTTTTTTTTTTTTTTACTTTTTCTATTGAACATCAATCACCTATATATAGGTCTAAACAATACTCCACGAAGTGATGCCAAAACAAAATGAAAGGCCACCTGAAATTCAAACAAAAACGGCCATAATGGCTTGTGAAAATGTTCTATGCAATCGCATAGATTTGCAAAACTCAACCAACGGCAGGACTTTTTGGCCATGCAAATGCCTATGCAACCGCAAGCTGTTCTGGCCTATGCGGTCGCATGGGCCACCGATTTGGCCTTTATTTCCCATTTGTCATTCCATATGCATTTTATTGATTTTGAACAATAACGTAAAACAGACACTTGATATTAGCACCTAGTATTAACACTCTATATCAACAAATGGGCACATTACTCAAACAATGAATAACTATTCCTTTTATTTAGTCTTCTGCGACTATATGTCTAGGGGTGGGCGCGGGTCGGTTCGGTTCGGTTCTAAAGAGAATCGAACCGAATTTTTCGGATATCTAGTAAATGGAATCGTCGGGTCCAAATATAATTATGGAACCGTTAGGGTTCGGTTCCGTTCGATTCTGTACTATAATTAAATTTTTTAATATTTATAACAACATTATACAAATACAACTAATGATATATTCAATAGTTTTGGAATATCAGAGACTAGTAAACTACCTTGTTCAAATGATCGCTACGATCAAAGTTTCGGTTGGCGAAGGTCACAGTTTCGATCGGAGGTCACAGTATCGGTCGATGATTGTATAGGTTTTGGAATATTAGCGAGGCTGCGAGAGTGAGTGCGAAAGTCGAGACAACATTATGCACTGTAGTGTTGGTGTTTAGGATTGTTTAGTGAATTTGATCTTGCTTGGCTAAAAAATGAAATAATAAAATGGGTAATTGGCAAAAAATTAAAAAATTAGAAATGAAACAAATTATTGGGCCAAAAATTCGGATTAGAAATCGTTAATTTGTTAATTTGTTTAGAAAAAATTAAAATTAAAATAATTTGATTTACTCAATATAAAAAAAATTAGAAAGATTCGGTTCTTGGTCTAGAATCGAGAACCGAATCGTACCCGTCGGTTCTCAATTTAGTACCCGTTCGGGTATTTAATTTGACAAGAATCGTCAGGTTCGGTTCGGTTCGGGAGATTTGCCCAGTCCTATATATGTCAAAGCAAGTATCAACCACATTAAGATAAGGCTAATCTCATATGTTATAAGTGGGTGAGACATGTTTATTTGATATATATGATGAATTATGTGAGTACAATACGTTTATATATTTCCAGCGCCGAGTGCTTCGTCCATATAACTTCTATGTTTGAGACTTGAAATTATGTGAACTTGAACCTTGTGAGATTGTACTTGACAAGTATTACATGATAATCATGCTTGTTTGATTTTCATGGAATTTCGTGATTATCGTTCTTCCTGATCTCACATACATACATGACTGTGGTGTGTTACATGCTGAAAAAATTTGCCCTCGAGGGCTCCATATTCTCCCCCAAAGGATCCAATTAGTTGAGTACGAGGACTCCATGTCAGGCTCAAAAGGGGTCATTGCATGCCAATGTATCAACTCGCATTTATATCAGGGTCGTTGAGGCCCACCAAAGCATAAAATTTCTTGATCGTCAAAGCACCATCCAGCGAAGACTAATATAATCCGAACACTTGGACTAAAGGACAATTGGAAATCTCATCCAAACGAAGAAAATAGAGATCTTTACTCGACCTTGGACATTTTTTAGTGTATTTTGGCACAATCATATCAGTGTGATCATCCATGCAAACACATGCATGTACATAGCAAATAACATGGCAAGAATCATGAAAGTACAAAAGTCAACCAAAATAATGTAGTTTGGAATTAATTATGACTCGCAGCATAATAATGAGTTTTTCACTCACAAAAATGACTTAGCAAGTCCTTAAAATCGTATGTAAAAAAGGGCCATTAACAAATAAAAAAGTGTTAAAAATTAGAGGGTTAAAAAGTGAAAATTACTAGATACCACTCGAAGGTTCTATTTAGCCAATTTATTTCGACCCAACATGCGAAATTTTACAATAAAAAGTAACAAGTCGCTTTTAATTGTTTCTAGATTGTTAATCAAACAAGTCAAATTATCCTATGTTAAATTGCCACAATTTATAATATGAAAGCAATAAAGAACACAAGAATTGATAACGGAGAAGCCCAACTGGGTGAAAACTTCTGGACCAAACCAGTAACCTCCATTATAAATAATGATGTACTTACAATACGATCCAGTTTAGAAAATTTCAGTAGAGTCACTGATCTATTTCCTGCAATCTCCAAGACACGTTGGATTGTGTTTCACTCATATATGTTCCCGATCTTCTGGAATTGTATATCTCTTGTGGATCATCAAGAACACCTCGTTCTTGTATTCTTCCCCTGTTTCTGGTTCAATCTCTCTCAATTCTTCAACAACCTCTAATGTTCTTAAGAAAGTGCCTTCCTGTATGTATATAGGAAATAGGTATTTTGGATTATAAGATCTTGATGTTTTGCCCAAATTGTGATTGATGAATCTTAAGATGTTAAAGATGAAGAGCAACTGTTTTTATCTCAAAAGGATGTTATGGATAAAGAGTATAATGGCCAACCACACAGATTTCGTGTTTAGGGTTTGGTATATATAGTAAAAGGCAATTAAGTGTCATGGATTGAATAAAACTCTTAAAAAACGCAAATTAGGATTTCACGCGTAACACCGTCGCTCGAGCAAGAGCTCTGTGACAGGTAAGTCTATGAGCGATGGTTTGTCACTCAAGCAATAGCTGGGTGACAGAGTTTCTGTTTTTACTACTCGAACATCAAATGGGCAATAGACTAGCGTAAATTTGGTGACTCTTTCATCTTTGCTCCAAACTCAAATCCTAACTTACTTAATTCATCTATACAATATTTCAATCGACTCCTTGACTTTTTACAATGTTTCATGTCAGTCCTTTTTGTTCAAAAAATTGCCAATACAATAAAATCCTAACAATATTTCACTCTAGAATCTGCATCGGATCAAGGCAAAATTAGTGATATCTTGAAATTTTCAATATCAGCCAATTATAGTATTCTTTTTTCAACCGAAAATTGGTCGAAAATTTCTTTCTTCACACCCAAACACCCCCCCCCCCCCCCAAAAAGGGGGCAAAAGCGTGCCAAAATTTCAGATGGAAAACTATACTTGACGTTTATTAAAAAAAAAAAAGAGAGAGAGAGAGAGAGATTCTTCTTATTTCTTGCTACAAATTCTTCATTTGAAAGTCATATAATATATCACGTTTAATTTTGAAGGTCACACGTGTAATTTTGCCTTTTTAACATGAATCTTTGGTTGATCTTGCATTGTGTTTATAGGATCAATTTAAATTGATATCTTTACTTTTATTTTTTATTGGGTTGGACGTGAATTATTCATTAGAAATTGTTATATCGTGTCACTCTTATTAAAATATTGTTGGTGCAATTAAAATTTTTAATATGAATTTTTGTCTTATTTTCATACAAGTCGAAATTATCATTGCAAGTATTTTTTTAAAAACTATTATGACTTTTTAAAGAAAAAGTTTCACAGCATGTAACTTTTATTAAAAATATCCAACTTCATGCAATATTTTTCACTTTCATCTGATTGTACAAAAGGCCCTGACAGCATTTGTCTAAAGACCCCATAAACAAGCAATTGTCAGACGTCCCTAAGTATGAAAGACTGTAACGATAAAAATCAAAATCATAGCGCCTGATGACACTATTAACAACATTTCAATTCCCAATTTGGGTATAGGCTAGAATATCAACCAGATTCACGAGTTTCAATAGACTTTATCTAAAATTCTCAACAAAACTGGTCGTGATACAGACTGAGATTCATTGCTCTTTACAGATAGAATGCGGCTTTCCAAGACCCCAACATCCTCATACAATTGATCGGAGAAAGCCAAAGCTCCCGGAATGGCATATCTTCTCTCAAGCAGAGGTGCCACTCTTTACACCGTATTCTGTGCACTTTGTATCTACAAGATCAACATTCTTATCTACGTCGTCTTGGTGAGCTGATCCCTGTCAAGAATTTTGTTCTCTTTCACTAGAAAATGCTAATTAATTTGAACTGTAAGTTGGTATAAATCCTTTGGCGTGTTGACTCTCCATTTCAAGGGTCATCAAGGATTTCTGCCGGTGATATCTGTTTCTTTTTGCAGCAAGAGCTGAACAAGATAATAATTAAACAAATCAATGTTCAACTCAATACATGACGTGAGCACAGGTGCAAAAGAATACGAGAACCAACAAGTTATATATGATTCTAATTTGATGCAGTTGGTTTAATATTAAGTAAAACTAAGGCTGATCCAAGTTATTTAAGGTAAGTGTAATTACACAAACAGTGTCAACAAAAGTCGAGTAATTTGCTTGTTGGGGCAAAATTTTGGCGAACTTAAACAGAAAGTAACAAATGGAGGAAAGGAGAAAGAAATAAACGTTTTGCAGCATGGATAGTTTGGTCTGAGTAAGCCTTGGCTCAAAAGTGGCATATAAAGCCTGAAAGATGAGCCATTGCCTCAAAAGTAAACAAGAAACAACTTTAAAATCCATAACACACTAATATTTTGTTAGGACCAATAGAAGACAGGTGCAAGAGTGGAATGTTCCTTGTGTAGACAGCAGTTATCAAAGAATTTAAGGAGATAAATAAAACATGAAATGCACAACGTTGTGCACTGACACCAGTTAGGGAAAAACTTACACATTAATTCATTAGGTAGACCAAACTCATAGTCATTGCGCCGCCTCCAGACACAACAATAGTACATCCCAAGCAGCAGCACCGATAATAAAAATAGACATGATAGACCAAGAGCAACTTTGCCACCAGTAGATAAGCCATTTTTACCCCAAAATAGTGGACAATCAGGCAATGAGGGTACACCGCACAAGCCTTTGTTGCCAGAAAGGCTGTGAAAGAAACAAAAGTCTATTAGATAAGTAAAGAGACTTCTACAAGTTCTGAAGAATTAAGAATTGAAGCCGACATTAGAAAAAAAGTAGTGTTTATTTTAATTGCATTTATGGTGATTATTTATTGATCGTGTGGTAGATGCCCTTTATTCTCTACTCTAGAAAAGTTCTATAGAGTATTACAGTTCATTGTGCCAGGTGTGGTCAATGCCAGGCAAGCTTTCACAAACTTCAGGAGTTCAAACACAAAGGAGTATGTTAGAGCTGATATACCAACATTCACCTTTCAGAGTTATGCGACTTCTCTACAGCCTCAATATAGAGCTTTTTGGACTATGGTCCTGAATTATACATGAGACACTGGAATGTGCAGATGAATGTTATCATGGGAATGAATCTAGGTAAACAGAACCACACAAAAATCGTATAAAGCTACTTGTTTGAAGACACAAGGAAGCATGCTTCTCAAAGACCAAAACTTCTCTCAATTAAATCTCCACAGGAGAAGCACAATGCAGGAAAAGATGATAACTTGGAACCTTCGAATATTAGTTTCCTAAATTAATGAATAACATGCCCAATAACCCATATTTATTATTCTTAATGTGCCTCTCAATAAATTCCATTTCATACATGAATATCATCTTAAATCCAAATCACACACTACAAATTACCCAAATCCTCTTGGTCAAAAGGCTTAAACTCTTCGACAAGAACCTATTTATATATGAGCCTTCTCTGGAGAGGTTTTGCACAATTGAAAATTGGAGTTTGCATTCATTTAAACTTTCATGTTTTAAGGTTATAATACTGTCTTGTTAATTTTTTTTTTTTTTTTTTTTTTTCCCTCTGAAACACATCCATGAACACCAAGAAGTGATAAGCAAATACGTATCCATTTGTTATACAAGTACAATTACAATTTTAAATTTGTCTACCCACAATCAGATGCATCGAAATACCTTGCAATCAGGCGAAAGATGCAAAAGTGAGTCACACGTGCCTCATAATAGTTCTAATTTATACAGAACTTAGCCTTTCAATTTTTCCAAGAGTTGAGATAGATGAAAATGGTGCCTAGAAGAGTAATAATTGCTAAAAAGAGGTTCAACAAGACAATTGAATTCGTGACCAGAAGGCGGCACAAAAGGAAATTAAATGAAGCCTAATCTTGATATTCTAGATTTAAAAGAAAAAGGAAACATGGCAACTATCCTTGGGGTTAGTTGCTTCCTTCAAGAAAAATAGTGAAATATTACAGTGCAAGAGTCTCCAACACTAGGAACTAAAGCGGTTTGGGCAAACACAAGAATTCATATACCAAAGATGACATAATCCTATTATATGCTTACTATCGGACGCTAGGTGCTACTAGCGGTTTTATCAGTTTATAATTATTGTAAGAGTCTAGATGCTAGCAATAACTTTAACAATACAGCAAAGTAAATAGGCACTCTAGATCCACACAAGCCAATATCTATAAAACATTATACAGGATGAGTCAGCAGGCAACATGGATTATGGGTCTTAGAATTAACTAATGAAGGGAAAAAATTAATAGAGGAAATAAGTAGAATAGATTAAGTGATGACATACTCAATAGCTCCACCATGCACCCCAATCGAATAAAGTTCCTCTGGGACTTGACTTTCCAGTAAGTTATCATTCAATAACCTAATCAAAATAATTTGATTCAGAAAACTTAAACGAGAGTTTGTGAGCAATTTTAAAGCTGTGTAGAATGTGAAATGATGTTCATTTTTTCTATCTTTAAAAGTTCGTATTCTTTTCACAAATCACTAGAAGTAGAAAATCAAAGACAGTTAGAAGGATACATTTTAAAATGCTCGTATTAGGTTATGACTAAAATTATCTGTTTTATGATAGATAAGCCAACTGTGTATTTCTCTAAGATCAGAACAGTTAGTCCATTTACTCACACGAGCTGCAAAGTAGATGAAGTCAAACTATCTGGTATGACCCCAGTGAACTTATTATCCGATAAATCCCTGCATCAACAAAGCATGAAGAATTGACGGTGAGAATAGAGAAGGCAGAAAACATATATGTAGCACCAATTAAATTTAGCCCCTTTTTGATGGCCATTATTTGGGAAGAACAATGTTTTGAATAGTGATTTTTAGGAGAATATGTGGTTAAAAAGTAGGCAAAAGTTTTGGATTTGAGTATAGAATATTTTATTATAAGAATGTGGTTGAAAATGAGCATGTGGGAAAAAGAGTTTTCAAATAATGGTTGTCAAACAGGGTTTAAATCACTGTATATGGATGAATAAAAATCGAAATATTTTTCTTGTGTTTGTCTAGACTAAAACATATTTTCACCTTTGAGATTATATGCCTACACCTACACCCTCTGTAAATGAGCAAGAGTTACTAACTAAACCAAAATCTTCAACTTGATTGAAAATCAAAACAACTTCTGGAGATTCTATCATGCAAACTACTTTCATAAATTACTTCAGAGAAAAAATAAAGTGAATAGAAAATATTTCTTCTGCGAAAGTTCACAATCCTATAAAACAAAATAGATCAAACAAAATAAAATGTGTCAAACACGAGCACACTGGAAGTATGTAATCTTACAGCTTCACAAGAGACTTTTGGCCCAACCCTGATGGCAGATCTCCTCCTAGAGAGTTAGAACTCAAGTTCCTGCACATCAACGGATATTTGTTGATGTAAAATAGATCCAAAAGGGAAAAGAAAAATAAATACATGGAACCTAAAAAGTTCCAGCTCATTTTTCACTATGTGACTATTCAGGAATTTCAATGAATGATGCATGAGAAACTTCGACCTCCCAGAATCTTACTTTGAACTTATTAAAGGTTCATTGCAGTTTATGAAAGTCAAAAGTTGGAGAAAAAGAATTACTGATTGTAATGCTGATTTTAATTTAAGTTGAAGATCGAATGCCAACTATAGCTACTGGCCAATAAAAGTCTATTACAATTGATTATCATGACCAATTAGTTACAGAAGACATATTCATGTGGCTTAGTTCCTCTCTCTCCATGCTGATCAGCAAGATTACAGTTTGAAAATGTAATGCGAGATAAATAATTTGTATTCGAGCAGCAAATTATGCATCAGTAACACAACATCGGATGCTGGATGCAAAAGAAATGGACCATTGATACTTACAGGCTTACCAAATTCGTCAAGAGACCTATTTGGTCACTAATATACCCCTTCAAGCCTTGACTACCAAGATCTCTGAAAAAATAAAATAAAACAAAATGTGAAATGGAATTAGTTAGTTCAACAAATATATCAATTAAGCTTCCATCACTTCCTAGTATGGCTTTAAAGAAGACGGCACAAAGAGTCTAGGAGATGAAAAAGTTTTGATAGTAAAATAATGACTAATCAAATGGATGCTTCCAGATGGTAATTAGAAGCTCAGTCAACGTAAGATGACAATGTAAAATATTAGGTGAAAGTAGAGTTCAAAAAATCAATGAGAGGTCAAAGTCATCATTAGTAGTAGTTGGCGGTGATAAGGAAACCATAACAACTGCTAATGTGCAGATGTAAGAAACCAAAAACCCAAAGCAAGTTTAGTTCTTTACTAGTAACGGGTCTCAATCTACTATTCAGATACATTATTGTCAAGCCTATACAATACAGCCAGCAAGGTAGATGCAGGAAAGAGAAATTTTAGCAAGAAAATACTCTCTGATGAAAAGATATCTGAGTTCTTTTTTACTTTTTTTCTTTTTTTCTTAAATAGATTTGCTAGCGGATTTGAATAACTTCCGCACTATTAGTTCTTCGCTAGATTTCACATTCAGGTCCATCATAATTCCAAGAATTAAGTACTTATAAATTATAATATTTTATTGAAGACGAATGCACAATTTCTTCCACGAATTGCCTTGTAGAATTTTCTATTACATATAGACCCCTGCTAGTTTCCGTGAGAGAAAAGATGCTTACATTTGGGATACCACAAGGACAGATTCATCCTTTATGGAATGACATGTAACTCCCTCCCAAGCATCCCATGTGGTAGGGGCACAAGGATCTCCATTCCAACCCATTCTGTCAGGAACACGAAGTGACTCCTTCAGTGCTCTCATGGCATTTACTGCAGAAATTTAGGCTTAAATCATCAAAAGGATTCTTTACTACTTGTATCTACTAACAATATCAAATTTTATTAGCATGTTCCTTTTAAACATATAGTCAGTTAACAAAGACAATCCCCTTATCTTCGAAATTCCTCTCTTTTCAGTAAAAAGCTTGAAATCTAATGTAATGATATGCAAGTTCATAGTTCCCCTACATTGAAACTTGAAGTGAAGTCCAGAGACCACTTCCACATCCTCATATATACTCTAACCCGTCTTCCACTATATAAGTTAACAAAATTAATAATGCATACCAATAACAGAGATTATTTCATAAATATATTTCTTTTATTCATTGAAATTTTTAAAGAACTATGTAAGAAATGCTCTTTTTTCTAACCTCCATTTTCTTACACACAATACTTCCCAATTCATTCCCTAAATAAATCAGAACAAGGTGATCATAATCGTAAAGATCAATCAAATAATTTATTGCATTCTCACCCTGATCAGGAGAAGTCTTGAGATCAACTGGCACAATTGCATAATTCTCGAGCCCACAAATGATTGGAGCCCCCACAACTGCCTCTAGCCTCACACTCAGAGTAGTAGTACTTAAATTCTTCACTACATAACTCCAATCATATGCAGCAAATCCTCCGACCTGCTTGTACACATCCACCCTACTCACGTTCTCCCCATTCACAAACACATCGAACACCCTCTGCCCAGCCTTATTCACACTAACATCAATCTCTGCAAAATGGAACCACAGCAAATAATCCAGCTTGGCATCCACAGGTAACTCATACTCCAGCGCCGCGCCACCATCTCCTAGAACAGTCAACGCCGTTTGATACAGCTTTTCAGGAAAATAATTTGGACTTGTTTCGACGTTTACTACATTTTTTATAGAAGAAATAGCTTTGATTGTCGACCCAGTAGCAATAGCCACGGATCCTACTCGGAAGTCAGCACCGGATTGCCAAGACCGGCCAAAAAAATCTGTGTCGTTGCTAAATCCTGATCCCCATTGATCCGACCCGGATGAAAACCTGCCATAATTAACCAGTATGTAATTGCTGGAATTTTTGGTATAGTCAAAAGGGTATGCATTTGGGTCAATTTGCGTTAGTTCTAGGGACCCAACAACCGGCGAATCAGTGGCAATGCTGTAAAAACATATATCTGCCTCGGAATCATTCAAGTAAAAGAAGAGATCTGAGTAAGCGCCAGAGCGAGAAACAGATTCGGGCCATGGGGAGCGCCAAGAAAAGACTAAAGTACCCTCAACGGAGACGTCAAAAGAAGGTGAGTGGGACTTGCCATCGAAATTGTCATAAACAATGAACGTCCGAAGGAAGTAGCGGCCGACGCCAGCGGGTATGCTATAGCAATTCTTCTTGCCGGAGGAGATAGGAAAGTAGCGAAGAGTCTTCTCCTGCTGGTGGAGAAAGTGAAGGGGCTCGGAGACGACAGAGGTGGCGCCGCCGGAGTAGTAGCGGTCGGAGACCCACGTAGTCTTGAATGCGTCAGTAGAATTGCTTAGGCCACCACAATCAATATGTAAAGTGTAGTCTGTCAAAAACACACAAGTATGACTGTTAGTTAATTATTAAGCAAGCTGGAAAATGGAACTAATACTAATATGTGATGGGACTTACTGAAAGGGTAGGAGAGAGAAATGGCGGCGGGCAGGAGGAGGAAGAGGAGGAGGTGGTGGTGGTGGTGGTGGAGGCGGAAGGACATCATGAGAGGTGTTTGTCAACACAGGCTTTGCCACATTATCAGAGGTGGGGGCGTGATTATCGGGGTACAGTGAAGATGAAAGTGAAGTAACCGGAATGAGAAAGACTACTTTATATGAAGATTAGCTCAAGATTTGCAGAATGGCTGCTAGATTTGTGGCTTTCTTTTTGAACCGGGTTTTTGAAGGGTGAAGTAGACTTCACACGTGCTAGATAATTAATTATATTCACACTACCATCTTTATTTTTTACACCACATTTTAATTATATTTAAAATTCTTAATTTTTGCTCATTGTAATGTCCCTAATGATCATGTCTTTCTTATAGTCAAACTTTCCACTAATTAACATATTTTTGTATTTGATAATAGTTTTATATCCAAAAGTTCGTTGAAATGAAGTAAAATGACTTATTTCATCCACATTTTTTAGAAATAAATAAATAAAAAGTTGAAAACAAAATATTTTGACACAACTTATCATCAACTACAAAACGTACTAATTAATGAAAGATTGAAGAAAAGAATTCAAAGAAATAAGTTAAAGAAATAATTGTTACATAGAGCAAAATTGAAGACTTTAACTGCAATTGAAATCATGTGTAATAAATAAAAAGTGTGGTGTCCATAGTGCAAAAACTTAAGTTGGATCAAGATATTGATTGTTTTTGTTACCCACGCCATATTTGGATTGGTTTTCAAATCGAAGGGTCGATTACAGATATGAAAATATACTACTCATGTTAAGTAAACATTTAAGAATGAATATGACATCGTACTCAATTTCACAAATCATCTCGTGTGCTAAATTTTAATGTTCCTTAAATTCTATAATTAATGAAGACTTTGATCATCCATTTTTGTCTCGATGACGGAATAGCTTATTAGTTTGGAGACTTTTCAAGAACTTTTTATCAATACAAAAAGATCACATGCAACTCTAACATGTTGCTCCAAATGAGAATTAGACATAAGAGGGCGGTTTTGAATATCAACAACAAACGTAATATAGAAAATACGAGTAAAAATTGAGGCATATTGAAGTTGGATTATGTTATACATTTTTGTAAATTTATAAACAATGCAAAATGTAAGAAGTAGACATTGAAATTAGGGAGTAGCGACCTAACTTGACAAAAGTTAACCATCGTATATATGTATATATAGAATGTCTGATATGCTTGTGTGAAAAATTGTAGAAACATTTGTCTTTTTTTTTTTTTTTTTTTAGCAATTGATATTTTTATTTATTTTGAAGTCCATCCCAACAAAATGCTCAGTCATTAAAAAAATAATAAATAAAAAAGATAAAAAAATTAAAAATTAAGACCAACAAAAAAACTCACCTACAAACACTTATGCGTGTATTATTAATGTAACGTTGTTAAATTGATACCAAATATTAGTAAATTACATTAGCCTAAATGAAATGAAAAGAAGAGAAAATAATCTTTAGTTAACAACGTGTCCTTGATAGCCGACCGAATGAATTGGGATTGATTAATAAAAATAATTAAAAGAAAGATACATGGGATGCGAATCCAAAGAAAGTGGAGGACTAGGGGTCTCCCTCCACAAAGAAAACTGTCAAAATGCAATAATAATTAAAGGAAAGTGGGTTGGGGTGGGGTTTCCAAGCGAGACAAGTTGTGCGAAAGTGATAGCAAATGAGGGGATAAGGGTTCAACAAAACTCTCAAATCGAACTGATCGATTCGGACTCGTATCAAATTGAACAATTTTTCTTAAATTAAATATTCGAACGGATATTTGAATCGAGAATCGACGATTTTGGTTCTTTCTCAATTCTAGATAAAGAAACGAATAAGAATCGAATATCTCTAATTTTTTTATCCGAACGGACATTTGAATCGACAATTTTGGTTCTTTCTCGATTCTAGATGAAGAATCGAATCTCTCTAATTTCTTTATCTTAAACAAGTCAAAATATTTTATTTTTTCTATTAAATTTGCTAAATAATTAATTTAGCCGAAACTCAAAATCTAATTTTCCTATTTCTAAATTTCAATCCAAGCCTAACTTAATGAAATTAATCTAGGTTTTACTCAAATTCTTATTTTACCGTTATACCTTTTCTACCGTTATGGAGAAATCAAATTGAAAGTTCGTTTGCCTCTCTACATTATTATGAGCTCGCTATCTTCTTTTTTCCTGTAATTTTAATAATCAAAACTATAAAGACTCAACAAAGAGAGTCACATAAGGTGTCATGGAATTGAACTAAATTATTTTGTATGAGCTAAAATTGAACATGTAATTAGTAAAATTAATGTAGTATTGTGATAAATATCAAAAAATTAATTATTGCACGCAACTCAGGAATCGAATGGAATAGAAACAAATCGAACCGAACCGAACCCAAACGGTTCCTAATTAAATTTGAACCTGGCTAAAATTACATATATTAAATACCCGAAAATTCGAGGTTCGATCCGACTCTACTGGACCATGTCCAGCCCTAGACAAAACAGTTGAATTTAAAATGATTCATAGTAATTTTTGAAATTAGTTCACTTTTCATCTCAACAAATTAATTATTTTTTGCTTTTCAATTTCTGCAATATGATTAGTTACATCAAGTCCATAGATTTGTTGCAAATATAGTAAATTAATTACTCATAATTTAGGCACATTAATAATTAGCTTTACTTAACAAATTATTATATCCTCTAATTTTGTTTAACATTTGTAACGCGTTTATATTCAATTTATAATTTGAACAAGTTGAAACAAATTCCTTCTTATCAAATTTTATTAAAATAATACAAATGGAACGAAGACATTCAATTCTAAGTAATTGAGGATTAATATGAAAGAGTGAGGATGACATTAATCCACTCCTCGGAAACGTGAAAACTCTGGAATTAGGTTCCCATTCTCTTGCATCTAAGCCAAATCTCATGTGCCTTGATGTAAAGCCTAAGCATTCAAACTTGTAAATTAATCTGTATATTAATAATTAAGATTAATAATTATTAATAAAATAAGTTCATGCACAAGGCTTTTGTGGTTTTTTTTTTTTTTGTTTGAGACACTAGTCCTGTTAAGCATTCTCAAAACTCACTATTCCTCTAAAATCATGATCGAGTGGACTAAATACATCCTCGTAAATTTTTCATAAGAGGGTCGAGGTGAACGATTACAAAAATTTGGGCTATGAGAAAGACTACTCTATAACAAGTGAATATTATCATACGTAAAATAATTTGTAAATTCTCTGTTCATATAATTAATCGAGCAGAAACTTTAATTCATTGTCGACAGAACTAGCAACATGTGCAATTGGATAGAGGGCTTCCTCCATTGCAACCCTAAAAGTGATGACTAAAAATTGGCACTTCTATGTGCAAAGAAGTCTAAAATAAAAGGAGTATTTATTTTGAATAAAGTCATATTAAGTCCCTGTTTGGTTCTGATTTTTCAAGTCAAAAAATTAAATTTTTAATCATTACTTAACACGATCAGCCAAGGCCGGTCCTGTGACCATGGGGGCCCAAGGCGAACTTCATAAATTGGGCCCCAAAATCAACGTAAATCAAAATCCAACGGTATATTATACAACCAACTACTAACTTAAAACTTAACATAAAAAAACATTTACAAAACATCTCAATTGTGGGATGATTCTTTTACGTTAATTAGTGGGTTTTACCAACAAAAAAATTAAAAAAAATTGGGAAAAAAAATTTTGGGCCCCCTTGAAGAGCTGAGCCTGAGGCAGCGGCCTATTGAGCCTATGCTCAGGTCCGTCTCTGCGATCAGCCATCATTTTTTATTTCTTTACTCACAAGTGGGATTCACTATTCTCTCTAACGGTCAAAAAAATAATTTTAAGAATCAATAATAAACATGCCCTTTTATATATTTCAAATAAATATTGCATAAAATTATCACAAATTAGTAATAATTATAAGATTTGACCTAAAAGTCCTTATCAACTTTAATATCAAAAAACATTGTTGGCATCATACCTAAATTATTGTACCAAATGAGGTCATGAATGTCACGGGGCTTTAGCAGCAGTATTTGGAAAAAAAAAATAATAATAAAAATAAATAAATAAATTTACTCAAACTAGTCATTCCATTTTTTTTGTTTTAATATTTGTACATCTTGTATGAATAAGAAAATCAACTTGGATATGAGAAATAATTGACTGTTACAAAGGTGCGGTGTTGTGCGTCGATCCACACGTGATTAACAAAGATTATGGACTATTAAATGAAAGACTAACTTCTCCATTATTATCTCAAGATCATGTTCTTAGCTTTAATCATTCTTTAATTCTTGTTATTATCCTTTAGAAGTCACGCGTGATTTATTCACTTGGAATTTTGCGGATTGAACAACTCATTTAAGAAAAGTTAAAGATATCTATCGTACACTATTTATCAAGAATAATTTGAAACTACTTTTTTGAATAATGATAACTTTAAGATACAATCTCAAATTTTAACAAATTTAACACAGGACCGATCTCCTAAATATCGGTACTTAGCTTATGCTATGAACTAAGATGATATGTGACCTATTATAGTGTATCACGTCACTTGAGTGCTTAGGAGATCCATTTCGAAATTAAACAAATCATTAAGGCCCTGTTTGATTACACTATATTTTCCATGGAACTTGGAATTCGAATTCCAACTTTCACTTTTTGCCTGTTTGATTAACAAAATTTTTCAGAGAATTGATTTTCTAGATGCAAGTCGATAAAGAATGAAATTCCACCTTTTATTTTCCCATGGGGTATGTGGTTTTTGGAATTCCACCTTTTTTTTTTGGTTTTAATTGTTAGCAATGTGAACAAATTTTAGGAACAATTGTAAAAGAGGATAGCCCTTACATTGACAATTTTCATATAAAACAAAGTCAAACGAACACCAAAATATAGATGATTTTTGGATCATTTATTTTTTATTTTTTGGTTGACAATGGAAACAAATTCTATGAACAATGATAGAAGTGGATATTTCTTAAATTGACAATTTTCATGAAAAATAAAGTCAAACGAATACCAAAAGACACTTTTATTTCAACATTTTTTACCTAGAAAATTATATCAATCAAACACTATCAATTGACAATTCCCAGTAAAACAATTTCTAGGCAATTCAATTTCCTGAAATTCATTTTTTTTCACCCA